GAACAGTGAGAAACTAAAAGCAAACTAAAAACACCTCCCCCTTCCCAACCTCCCATATTTTACATCTTCCCCCTGAACAGCACAAGGGAATAAGGGGCTGTGCTCAGTCCCTGACACTTCATCTCCACCACTCCTTCACAGTCATTCTCTGTCCCTGCTCCCCATGGGGTCCCTCCCACAGGATGCCATCCTTCCCGAACTGAGCCTGCAGGGGCTGCCCACAGGCAGCAGCTCTTCAAGAACTGCGCCCACACGGCTCCGTACCATGGGGTCCATCCATCAGGAGCAAACTGCTCCAGCAATACAACCAGCATCACTTATTTGCTTGGCTCTGGCCAGCGGAGTTCCATGGAGCTCTCTCTATACCACGGAGCCAAGAGTTAGTTATTCAGTAATCTAACTTTGGTAATCTCTCACTAATGCATCAAGTTGGTATAAAGTAGATTTCTCGCCATTTATCATTCTGAACTGATTCATCTGAACTGTTCATTCATTGATGAAACAGCGAAGGGAAAACTGTATCAGAGGGGTTTTGTTAGAAGACTTTTAAATTTGATGGAATGCCCATTCAGTACAAAATTACTGTGCATGAATTTCCTTTTCACATCGTTTACAATGAGTTGCAACAGAAATAATGAAAACCTCTGTTATTATAGAAAAAAAAATGCACAAACATTTAAATATGTAGAGTAATATAAAAATTATTCAGTGCAATTGAAGCACCAGAGGTGCTTAGAGAAGGTCCTTGCAAAGCTAATGATCTGTCCATGATAGCTACATAAATTTATGTTTACCGACTGCTCAGTGCAGAAATATCCAAGATGACAGAGACCTTGTTATCTTGCCCTACTCAGATGGTGCTTGATCCAGCACCTTCAAAATAACAAAGGGTCTGGGAGTTTCAACGGATGATGGCCTAATTATAACTGAATGTTATAAAAAGGTCTCAAAAACTCTCAGAATCAGAACACATAGGGGATAATTGCACCCCTATGTGCAGAAAGTAGATGGTCACACATAAATAGTTGCTGTCAAGGGCTTAATGTCCAGGTGGAGATCAGTAATGAGTGGTGTTCCTCAGGGGTCAGGGTTGAGACCACCACTGTTTAACATCTTTGTCAGTGACATGGACAGGGGGATCAAATGCACCCTCAGCACGTTTGCTGATGACACCAAGCTGTGTGGTGCGGTCAACACACTGGAGGGAAGGGATGCCATTGAGAGGTGGGCCTGTGTGAACCTCATGAGGTTCAACAAGGCCAGTCACAATGTCCTGCACCTGGACAAGGGCAACCCTAAGCACAAATACAGGGTGGGAAGAGAATGGATTGAGAGCAGCCCTGTAGAGAGGGGTTTGGGAGTGTTGTTGGATGAGAAGTTCAACATGAGCTGTCAATGTGTATTTGCAGCTCAGAAAGCCAGCTGTATCCCAGGCTGCATTAAAAGCAGCATAGCCATCAGAGCAAGAGAGGTGATCTCTACCTCTGTTCTGCTCACATGAGACCCCACCTGGAGTGCTGCATTCAGCTCTGGGGCCTCCAGCACAAGAAGGACATGGACATATTAGAACAAGCCCAGCGGAGAGCCACAAAGATGATCAAGAGGCTGGAATACCTCCCCTATGAAGACAGACTGAGGAAGTTGGAGCAATTCTGTTGGGAGAAAAGAAGGCTCTGGGAAGGCCTTCTGGTACCTAAAGAGGGGCTATAGGAAAGCTGGAGAGTGACTCTTTGTCAGGGAGTCTGGTGATAGGACAAGGAGCAATGGCTTTAAACTAAAAGAGGGGAGATTTAGATTAGATGTTAGGAGGAAATTCTTTACTCAGAGGATGGTGAGGCACTGAAACAGGTTGCCCAGAGAGGTTGTGGGTGCCCCATTGCTGGAGGTGTTCAAGGCCAGGTCTTTGAGCAACCTGGTCTAGTGGAAGGTGTTCCTGCTCATGACAGGGGGGTTGGAATTAAATGACCTTTACAGTTCCTTCCGACTCAAACCATTCTATGATTCTATGATCATATTTGAATTTATTTATATAGGCTGAAAATGTCACTAAGTTATCTGAACTTAGAGTAAAATGCAATTGCCTAAATATAGTATCCAGTGCCATTCAAAATTACCTTAAGCTCAGAGATGTGTATTGGTGTCTGCTAAATATGTTTGAATACTTCCAGAAGACCTGCAACTGAAATAATTTCTCTCTGAGGTGGTAGAACAGGAGGGAATCCCTCAATTCAATTGCAGTCTTGGCTTGGGCTGTACCCAGCCAAGAATTTAGCTGCCAGTCTAACAAGTGTTGCTTGAAACTCTGTGAATCAACCAGACAATCAGATACAGAGTATTTAACTAGTATAAGTATATCCCATGTTTATAGTGGTTTATGATACTTTATTTTAGTAAACAACTTAAGGAAATGTATTCAGATATTTTTTTCAGCAGCTTATTCAGAAGAATTTCTAAATTATTCTCTGAATCTCCTAATACAACTCTCCAAGTAATTTTACCCTAAAGCAAGTACACAGTCAAAAATAAATAAATAAATAAATAAATAAATAAATAAATAAATAAATAAATAAATAAATAAAAATCAGTCCAGACTTTCATCTTGGAAAAAAAATGGAAACCAGTAACAATCAATTGAACTATCTTTACTTTAGGCATTTCTACTTGTTCTTTAAATTAACAACAGGCATCACTTCTGACCTGCTCTAACATAAAAATTCAGAATACAAAATCCCAGCAAACACTTCTGCATTTAGTGGGATAAACAGCAAATGAGAATAGCTATTAATTTCACAGAGAGGAGCAGAGCTGAGCTGGGGTTTGGCCTGGGAGGAATTGATAATTCTACAGTGAGAGATAAATTGCATTTTATTTTATGTTTTGCAAGGTGTACAGTACATTAGCTCTCCTTCTGTTGACTAGTGTTTTAACCACAACAAATCCAAATGCTTTCTCTGTACCATGCTGTGAGGTTCAAGCATGTTCTGCTGCCTGAGAATCTCTTGTTTGCAATATCACTTTCTGGCAATTGTTAGAGCAATTTAGAGGTAACAGACCTTCAGCCAAAATAGATTTTTAAATAGTAGCTGTTCTGTTTCTTTCTTATTGTATGTGGCCTCATGCTGCAGGACATTGTTTATTATTGAAAACAGCCATCTTTTTGTTCCATTAGATAGCTGTGTTTGGAACTATAAATTCAAAACATTTTTTTTTTCCAGACAGCTTCAGAGACATGAATAAAATGAGATAATTTACAGTAAATAATTTATTTGATACATATAATTATGATAATAAAACGTCTTCAATTTGTTCTTTAAAATAGTCAAGGTAGTAAAAAAAACCAAACTAGCAGTAGTCTCCCTCTTTGGAGATATTCAAAAGCAGTCTGGACATATTTCAGGGTAACCAGATCCAGGAAAACCAGCTTGAGCAGGCTCATTAGAAAACATGACCTCCGCATGTCCCTTTCAAACTCAAGCACTTTGTGATTCTGTCACTTATGAATAGATGAGCTTACATTCTGCATGAACAGTACAAGCAAAATACAAAATAAAAAAAAAAAAAAGATGTCTATTGGGTAAGATACCCTTGAAATCCTTGCACAACTAGAATTGCAATGAATTTCCACACTCCCATTACAGTTCTCCTGTTCAACAGAGCAAACAAGACTTGTATTACTAGATTACTAGTACATAAATATGGTTTTAAAGAATATGTTCTATAACATTGCAACTGAGCACCTATACTTACAGACAGTCCCTATTGGGAACCAGCTGAAAGTATTATTAGGCTTTGTTAGATATGTTTTAGCCAGTACTTATCCACATCTTTGAAATGCAGGCTTCCACTTTGAGGTGAACAGTATGTGCTAGCTGAGAACACTCATGAGGGCAAAAAAAATAATAAAAAAAAAATTGGTTCCTAATAACTGAAAAAAAAAAACGATATGATGATGGAGAAGCCTAGCTGGTTGTTAAAGTGGAGCATACTGTGAAGAAGGAGCAAAAGTGAAAAAAAGACATAATAAAATAATTTACACTGCTAATACCACCAATCTGGTTCCAAAATCTCTGATATTTCAAAACTAAGTCAAACCCAGCCTTAAGGAGGCAGCCAGTTATTCCTCATGCCCCACACAAAGAGTTAAAATATTAGACAAAACGCACTGCATAAATAGACATGAAATCTCCTGTTGCTGAAGACCTTCCTGTGACTTCCATGTCAAGTGTCCAGTAAGAAAGTAATTTTTGGATGTTAGCAAAAGAGAAGAAGAAACATTGGGAAAAAAATAGTTAGAAAAAAATCTAGTTATGATTAACCCTCTTGGTTACTTCAGTTACAGAAGTAACCTCAGTTACTTCTTGTTACTTCTTTCCCACCACTCTCCATAATACCATGGTAAAAGTGCACAGGATAATGTTTTCACATTTAGTACTTATCCTGTGATTAGATAGCAGACCTGAAAAGTGTGATACTCTACAGCTCCCTGTATCATCCCTAAGGTGGTGTACATTTATCACACAAAGAATGACTGGAAAATGTAGCAACATTTTCTCTGTTGAATATTTGTAAATGGTTATTTTCTGAAGCTCATGATTCATCCAAACAGAGGGTTCTCATGAAAAATCTCATGATTGCCTGTGCAGTTTTGCAGCCACAATGGGTGGTGTTTCTTGGGAAAAAGGCTTTACCAATGTTAAATAACAAAACAATGAGGACTTCTGCCACTCTCTCGCTGTTGTGACTACTATTTTAGATAAAATTTAAAATATTTTTTTCAAGCAAAACCAGAAATAGATATCTAAAAATGAAGTATTCAGGAAAAACCTTTAAGTTTAACCATCATAAGCAACTAACACAGAGCCTAATAATAGCAATTTTGGTCCCCTCTAATTGAAATCTTTAATCTATAATAGTTCCAGATAGAAAGAAAGAAAAAAAAATAAATGAAGAAGAAGAAAAAAAAAAAAACAAACCTGATGAGCTTAACAAGAATGGGAGACAGAAAAAAAGCAAAACATTTTTACATTTTGTTTAAATAAATTTTAATGGCAGTTCCTCATTCTTTATCAGTGATTTCCTTAAAGTAGGAGTTTTCATTCACTGTTAACTTTCAAACAAACAAACAAAACAATGAGATACTATTATTATTCTTCACTATAACAAACATATATATATAAATTACATAAATAAATGAAAATATTTGAATTCTGAGCACAAGAGAAGTCAGCAGAAAATGTCATGAAGGCTGCATTTTAATTTGTCCCTTCATTGTCTAGGGAGAACCTTTCAAGGTCATTTGCAATTAGAAGAGCTCTGAACTCTTTTGTTGAGGGACAGGAAAAAAAAAAATACAAAAAAAGATTACCTCAGCAGAGATTTGAAAAGACTGTGTAATGCATCTGAATTAAAAAGATGTATCTGACAAGGAATGAACGGACTTGTCATTATAGCATGGGGGAAAAACAACAGCAACAACAACAACAGCAACAACAAAAAAAATTCTGATCTCCAAATGTTTTCAATCTGATCCTGAGGAAGACATTTAGGGGGAGCATCTATTGCCGCAAACTGCAGCAACCCTTTGACCAGTCGCTATGCAGAAACACAGCTACATCCCTAGAGCCAACAGGGGCCACCCCATGCACAGTACAGGCTGGCAGCCACCTGCCTGCCCACACATCTCGCAGAAGGCAGACTCTGAGTGAGCCAACAAAGGGAGCTTAGCATAAAACTTCTGCATTAAGAATACATATACATATATATCATAGTCTGAAAAACACCAAGGAAGTACAATATCATCCCTTGAGCTTTGTTTTCTGTCTCCTTTCAAAAGTGCTTTTTATAGGAATGGCATATTTTACAGGAGTCAAGCACAGCAAGTCTAATTTACATAATGCTATTTATCACTATGTACAGATCCTTGCAGAAAGTTACAGAGGCCCTGGAGATGTATGTTCTCAGCCACTGCAAGGATCTAAATGCTGTCCAGAAGTCCATTACATAAAGAAATACCTAGTGTATTTTTAGAAAATGTTCCTGTTTTTTGTTACTGTCACTATAGAAATTTTATACAAAGTCAAAGAGAAAAGAAATATTGAGAAACCATGGTAGCAATGGTGTTGTGAGGGGGGAAGTGTGGATACAAAATCAGGCCTTCCCTCAGAGACAGTTGTGGGTGTTTAAACCAGCTGGATAGATTCCAGCTGGTTTAATATATTGAATATAGGAATCAGTGGGAATATATAGAATAGTAGGTGAGGCCATACACCAGGCTCCAAGGAGCCAGAAACTCAAGGTCCTAGTATTCACAAAGTGAATGACGAGTCCTGCTTCATCACAAGAGAAGTGTGTCTTGTCATTCCTCCTGAGGTCTCATTCCTTCAATATCAGAGCCACGATGTCAGTAGGTGAAGCTTCTCGCAGATGGAAATGATTTCTAGAGTATGAAGTTAAGGTTGCACAACAAATTAGTTTAAAATCAGAGTAGACTGTAACAACTTCTATTTTGAGAATTTATTTTCAGCTTTAATAAAACTGAGAAGTCGAAATATATTGTTAGGCAACTAAAATCTGTTAAAAATACCAGGTGACAAACACTGTTTTTCATATTACAGGAAGCATAATCTTCTTGATAAACTGCACTTTTTTATTTTACTTAAACTTTTTTTTTTACTCTTTTTTTTTTTTTTCTCTCCCCTAACACAATCTATAAAATCTTCTGGTTTAAATTTTTTAGAAATTTTTTAGAAACAATTTTTTTATTCTTGTACTATAAACTAACATTTCCAATATATTTTTCTAACTTCTGTTTATAAGTGCAACTTGGTGCAAAAATGTTTGGAAACAAAGTCTGAGAAGTCTAATAATAAGGTAGAATTATTAATATAATAATAAATATAATAATACAAACTTATTTTCATAACATTTTGCTTGTATTAAAGTCATCCACATTGTCTCTCTGGACTTGAGCTTTTTGCCTTAATTATGAATTTGTCAACATGAAGAATTAAACCAAGCTAGCTAATGCTGCTATCTTAATCTTATCTGTATTAATACAAATTAACATATATTCCTAGGTGTCTTTCTGTTTTCCCCTAAACTGAATGACAAAGTTTATTTTGGCATACAGTAAATCCTAATTTATACGTTACTTTTTCTTTGTTACCTTTTGAGCTCCCTGGAGTTGATCTTCTGTGTAAACCACTTTTATTTGTGTAAGATGAGTAAAAATGAAACTAAACAGAAATTGAAAGCATCAGTTCCTCTACGTACCTGTTCAAAAAGGCTTCCTGAACTCCACTTCAGTAGAAAAATGTAGTAGTTAGAATCAATTTTATCAGTTTGAAGTCTTGTGTTGCAGGGTATGGAATCTATACGGAAATATGAAATATTATTATAGTAAGCAGAATAAGAAATTCATCAAGTTAAATCAGAGATTGGACTGCATTTCAGTGCAGCCCAGATCAATTATACAGTTTTCAAAAGGCAGTATTTTGCAGTTTTAAAAATGCCAAGTATATAGTTTTCAGTGTTTTCCTTCAGCTTTGTGTTCATTCTTCTATTAACTTTTTCAAGAAGCATTTCAGCTTTCCTTTAAAACTTCTTATAAATATCTGGACTTTCCATGTAAAGTATCTGAACAAAAGGATTAGTATGCCACCTACGCGAGTATTTATTAAACTCATTCTAGGGCTTTTTACACAATTAGAAATAAAACAAAAATATGTTTCAGCCATAAAATCAACACTTCTACATTGTGTGATGCATCAGTTCAATATTACAATAGAAGACACTGATGAACATAATGATAACAAACCGAGATAATAATTCTGAAGAGAAATGAGGGGGCATGTTGTGTCAAACACTAGACTCTACTATACAGTTTGGCAAGCAAAACCCATGCAAGCACAGGAGCACTAGGGAGATTTGGGAGATATCCAGAGATGTAAAAGTGTGAGAACTTGTGAGCACAGTGGTTTCATATTCATAGACAGCTAAACTCCACCACTTTCTCAATCTCTCTGCTCAAAAGAACTTGGGGGGAAAATATGGTGGAAAAAAAAGATTCATGAGACAACGTAAGGATCAGTTTAATTAAAGGAAAAAAATAAGATAATAGAAAAAAAAAGTCTACACAGAAGCACAAGGAGAAAACATTTATTCCGTAATTTCCATTAACAAGTGATATTCAGACACAACTTGGGAAGCAGGACCTCAGTACACATAGTGCTCGCTTGGGAAGGCAGATGTTCTCATAGCAAGAATTCTCTGCTTCTTCTTCTCCTTCCTTCTCCTTCTCCTTCCAGCTTTTTATTTTATTGAATATGATGCCACATGGCATCATATGGAATATCCCTTTGGTCAGTCCAGATCAGTCCTGCTTCTGTCCCTTCCCAGCTTCTGGTGCACCGCAAGACTCCTTGCTGGCAGGAGAGCACAAGAAGAAGAAAAATCCTTGGCTCTTTGTAAGCACTGCACTGCAACAGCTAAAACATTGGTATGTTACCAGTATTAAAAAATCCAATCAGCATTAAAAATCCAAAACACTAAATCATTCAAACATCTATGAAGAAAATTAACTTTATACCAGACTTATTAACTTTACACCAGGATAGTGCAGGAAGACAATTTTTTAAAGAGATTTGCAAAACATAAAACAAAATATCCTGCTCTTGGTACTTCCAGTGCCGCTTCTACAGAAGTTATATGAACTCTACAGCAGTAGATATCTTCTTTCCCATTGAAGTCAAAGCATATAATCCCCTTTATAGTTATGCATGGATATTGATGTAAACAGTTGATTCTTTATAATTATGTTAAGATTTATGCATTGCAATTTCCCTTGGAAGTAACCACCACACTTTAAACAGAAAATAAAATTAAATTATATTTGTTCAGCTTATTTTTTATCAGTGGCTGATCAGCTAAATTTTAAAAAAAAAGATTACACCATAGAAATCTGGTGCTTTCTATCCAGCCAATTTTCAAGTACTTTACAGATTTGGTCACTTTTGTTACACACATCAACTTTAGATAAAGCAAAGCATTTTGTAAAGAAATTGCTTGATAGTAGTCAAAAGCTAACATATAGCTATCCTCTAAAATTTATGTGGATATTTAGTCAATGCAATAGAAAAGCTTATGTTCTGTTACAGATTCCCTTTAGCAACAATGTAACCCTGTTAAGTAAAAGCCAACTGCCAGACGACAAACATCCTTATTTTCTCTGTCACTTCCATCCATCACTTATGTCTCATCAAATAGAAATAGTCACTTTGCTCTTTTTCTTCATCAATTTGCAATTAAGAACTGACAAATAAAGACTAAGGGGTATGATAATACAGTACACTGTATCACCAAATGTGTCATAATACTGGCACAAGGGAATGTGCTAAATTCAAAATATATTTTATTATACTACTAAATTTCATTTCTAATCAACTCAATAAGTATGATCAATCTGTAACAAATAGTGCTTTAGCATACATATGTTTTGTATAAATATTAATAAAAAATAAAAATATGCATAATTTTGCCTGTTACGAGAAATCATGGTGCAATATACCTAGCTGTAACTGTCTGAAAATATTTTTGGCATTGAAATGCACAAGTTCACAGTCAATTTCTAATTTTTTTTGAAGAAAATTTCAGGGAAAAAAATAGTTGTATTTCATCCAGTAAGTATTTCAGTACAAAATTTGAGATAACTTTTGTACTAAAAATAAATTTTAAAAATGATGAATTTTCAAATAATCATTAGCCATAGGAGGTTCCGCACAAATTATATACTTCTTTTATATTTATTGGAGAAGTATATTTATTATACTTCTCCAAATTATTAGGCTCAAAGCTAAAACAGTGGTTTAAATAAGGACCGTAGAAATGCTAGCAGGACCACAGTCTCATACTTCCAGTATGCACTTGAAGCTTGGTGAGACTGTCTGCATTTAGCTAACGCAGCCACTTACAACAAGGACTTTAAGATATTGCCCATCCTCATGTGGGGCATTTTAATTCCTATTATGGAAACATAGAAAAATATATTACACTTAAACAATGAGTGGCACTGTGATACTCAGATCATGCCAACAAATTAAAGAAATTACTTTGAGTGAGGCAATGCAAGTAAATAGTTGTACAAAATGAACATTTTGAACCCACCCATAACAGTTTAGATGTGCACCATTTAAGTCCTTGCTTTCAAGATCTATATCCTTCTCAGGCTTCTAAAAGACCGTTTATTCAATAAATTAGCTGTGGAAAAACAAGTATCCTCTAAATAATGCAAAATACCAAATGTACGGTGAGTAGTTCTCTTCATAAGAAACAAGATTGATTTTGCTTTTGATTATCCTTGCTATAAAGAAATACTTTTTCCAATTAAGGTTCAAAAGTTAATGTTACAGAGTCGACAGCTTGACAAAATATCACATTAATCAGTAAGTATAAACTCATTGGAATTCCACTTATTATGCTACAGGAGCCATTTCTGGAATATCAGGCAAGCACCAAGATAGTTCTGGAGCACTGATTAGCAAGGCCATATTAACAGTAACATGTTGTTCGTATCAGTAGTGTATCTTCAAAGTACTGAAATATTCAGTCTCTCACATTTATTTATTTTTTTTTCTTCCTAGGAGCAATCAGGAATTTCAATTAAACAGTTGAAATGATTTCTATATAAGTGTTATGTTGTATAAAATATTTCTTTTAAATATAACTGAATGTACCTACCATAACAATGCCACCCCGTTCTGCTCTTAACTGTAAAGATATACTTCTTCTATATCCCTAGGTCCCCACCCAGTGTGTTCAGGGACCTTGCTGTGCTAGCTGCTGGAATAGCTCCAGTCTGGGACTGTTATCACCACTTTGTCTATAACATGGAGGCTAAGGTGGTAAACTTAGTTGGATCCTGTTGTGACTCTGCCCATGTCTCTTATCCAGTTCAAGCATAGGATCAACACCTCTTCCGTACGCTTGAACTGGATAAGCTGGGAGCACGAATCATAGACTTTTTAGCAGTTCTGGACTGGCTTGGGGTCTGTTATGTCCTGTCCAAACTGAGTACTGAAACTCACAGCAACTTCATTTTCCTGGAAGGGCTTCTGGAAACAGACAGCAAGTAGGCATATAAGAAAGGGAACAAGTGAGAAAGTGGTGTCATCAGCCATTGGGGCTTCTTCAGAAGCATCCTTTATTTTGTGACCTGTCCCTACTGGAGCTTCTGGTGCTTTATACCTCTGGCAATCAGACACAGATGGCTTAAAGTGCTTGTAAATTGTTGTAAACAACATAATTGTGGCACCATGATTGTGGTTCTTATATTCCAGACTGGGGGAAAAACATAGTTTTCTAGACAGCAGAAGTATACAGCAAATTAGTTACAATGAAAGCAACCTGCCAAGAAAATTCATTTGAGTCTGCCATTCGGAGACTCAGTTATTGGCTCCCATCCATATGATGGACATTTTCAGAGGACTTCAATAACTTGCAGAAGATGTTACATCTTCTTTGCATTCTCACAGATAAAGTTCAAATTATGATGCTGCAGTGATGTTTCAATAACATAAAAGATGATTTGAATAGCTAACAGAGGGTAGATTTAGATTAGATATAGGGAATAAATTCTTTCCTATGACAGTAGTGAGGCACTGGAACAGGTTGTCCAGAGAAGCTGCGGATGCCCCACCCCTAGAAGCATTTAAGGCCAGGCTGGATGGGGCTTTGAGCAACCTGGTCTAGTGGAAAGTGTCCCTGCCCATGGCAGGGTGGGTGGAACTAGATATCTTTAAAGTCCCTTCCAACCCGTTCTACAATTCTATGAGCATGTTATCAAACCTATAGAATTATGATACCATACATGACACCGTACTGAAACACAAAAATATGCACAGATAATGTTGACTATAATGTAGGAAAGTATCACAAAATGAATATTAATAAAGGACAGGTTCAAAAAATAAAATAATTGCTTGATAATTTTGTTAATGGACAGGGAATAGCACTCTTTGCTGTTGGTATTGATAACAGTAAAGCAAATGAATAAAGTAATAGAATAAAATAATGATAAAAGTTGTTTTTCAGGTAAATTAATAACTCAGAACACTATGAATACGGCTGCTATTGTTTTTGTGATTTTTCTACTTTCCCCAATGGATACATATTCTCCCACTGTAAAATCAGTTGTAAAAAGATATAATGAAAAGACAAATTATGGCCATTAATTTCATTTTGAAAACCTTTCTTCTTTATCCCAGAGTGTAGCTACAAAAGAGAGATTCATAATTTGGCCCCTGGCAGTGAGACATTCAATAGGAACAAATAGAAACATCTAGCATTGCCTGCAGTAGTAATAGCCTTAGTATGAATATCACAGAGAGAGAAAGTGATGAAATTACAACATCATTTGTGACAGTGAGACAGTATTTGAAGTGCTATCCTTGCCCCTGTCATGGCAGATTTCAATGTATATGGCATTCTGGTAGCAGCTCCTTTAAGTATTAAAACAAACTCTGATCACTTCTACCTGAGCTAGGCTTTTAAAATCAGTAAGATCATATAGATTTAACTAGAATAATTTGGTTAGTACATTAAAGATTAAAAGAACTATTTTGAATTCTATTAATCAGGAGTCTGTCAGATATGAAATTTAACTTCAAAAAAAAAAAATTATATCGTGGTGGAAAGACTTAATTCTGAGTAAATTATCTGTGGAGAATTCAGAACAGCAATTCATGTGCTGAAGAATACATGTAAAGACATTAAGTGAAAAAAGGAGGACGTGATGTGAGGTGGAGTGAAGTGTGGCAAGGCAGGGAATGAAGGAGAAAAGGGAAAAAAAAGAAAAAAAAAAAAAAACCTGCAAACCTCTTTGAAGATAGTGGAACAAATTGAAAAAAAAAAAAAAAAAAAAAAAAAGTACAACTCTTTGGCTTATGCAATTCAGGAAAAACAAACAAACAAAAAACAACAACACTTAAAAAAACGTGATGAAATTTTCTCAAGAAAGAATCTTAGCAATTTGAACAACTGTTGTGTGGATCACATCACATCAAAGAACAATTTTATGTTTAGGAATACAAAATGCCATCAAAAATGTTTTTGAAGAATGACAATTCTTCTTTCTTCTCTACTCTATGCACTGACATTTTCACGGTAAACATGGTGGTAATAAATGGAGTTTCCATATTTTTATGATGCTGTGAAAGCCGTGACAGTAGGGACAGAAAGGCTTGATTCATTTCTACTAACTTCAGAAAGTCTTTATTTCTTATTTTTTTCCCCTCTTCCTTTATAGCTAGGTAGGCACTTATTAAGGCACAATTCTTGCTAGATGTTTGAGAGATCAACTTTAGTAATCTGAACCAGCAGTTTATTTCTCAGTAACTGCATTGACTTTATATTCTTTAGTTATAGAAGGAGTCTGGAGTGACCAAGTCAGAATAGAGGTGTTTATTTAATGAGCTGAATCCCGTGGAAATTCTCATGGAGAAGAAATAGGTATCTGTGGATTCTTTTATGAAATAATCATGTTTTCTAAGATATTTATTGAGACATAACAGGCATCAGAAGCGCAACCCAGAGAGACAACTGGACAAACATTGTTTTAATCTGGATGATACAAGTCCTTGAATATGCAAATAATGCTTCAAACAGATGAAAGTTAAAAAATAAAATCCCAGTTGCAGAATAAATATAAATTATTTAAACAAAAATGTCAGTATGGTCATGGACAGTCTCCATGTTTCAGAGAAAGATGTCATGAAAGATTTCATGTATTATCTTTCAAGGTTGTGTACTGCTCAGTCCAGGTGTTGGAGTGAATGTGTCCGTGTACAGTTGCACTGGTTAAATTATAAACAGAGGGAGATATTGTGCTGTTCATGTTTTAAGAATATGCTTTCTGAGACTACTAATGTAGGTTTAGCAAAAAAAAAAAAAAAGAGGTAGTTCCAAGACAAGAGTTTCTCGGACAACAAGTTTACAGATGAAAGAATTTATTTAACATAGAACTAGATAAAGAATAAGAGCATCTGGTGATATGGGAAGTGACTTGGTAGGCTACCAAAGTTTTAATTACAACATATCTATCCTTCCCACACACAAACACCATGTTTGAACCTAAAAAATGTGGAGGACTTTTTTTCTAAACAGTCAATAGCAAGTCAACAGTCAATAACAAGATAAATTTACACAGAGTTTAATATCAAGCTTTCAGGAGTTGTTTTTTGTTTGTTTGTTTTTCTTCTTCTGTTAATACAAGATATTGAGGACAAGTATAAAATCTCAGGAAAGATGTTTCCTAATCATACAGATTTTAAAATGTCTAGAGTTTCTCCATGTAGTCATTTAGATTTGGAAACAGAAGAAAAAGTAAAAGCTATATATTCCCAGCTTACCTGTAATAGATAGCTGTAATGAGGACAAAATGCGCAGGAAGAAGAAAAAAAGTAATGTTTAAAACAATAGTTGAAGCAATTATGTCTTCTAATAACCCCCTCAACCACTGCCACAACTGTTTTCAATCTATCCTTATTAACAAGTATAATGCAAGAGATTAAAAACTAGAGACTTTCAGAATCCAAATGCTCATTACCAGCTGTTATGTGCAGATGTCAAAAATTAAGGCTTTCAGGTGGGTTACTTGAACCACAAACAACCTGAAAAAGCCTGGGTCAGGTTTTGTATCTCCTCATCTTAAACTCATTGAAGAGAAGACCTGACTGGAACAAAATATGATTTTACCAACAAGTAATATCACTACCAAAAACAAAGGGAGAAAAGAGACATAGGGAAGAAAAAAAAAAAAAAAAAAGTAAAAAAAAAAAAAAGAAAAAAAGTTGGCTTCAGCAAGAAAATTTATGTCTTTATGATATATACGTACTTTCTTTTTCAAACATTTCCATTCTTATCCCATCCCATATAAAGCCATTATCTTGTGACCTGTGCTGTGCACTTTCAAAATTAGCAAACAGGTGGTAAAGCTGGTATTTGACAGCAATAGCAATGACAGGCATTGTCTTCACAGCTGTGGTAACTGGCAGCCATTGTTACCATAAGAAATGCTGGCAATTGAATAGAATAATTTGCATTATTTTGCAATTGCATAGAAATAACTATTGTGCAGCCACTGCAGCCATCAGTCAGCTCTCTGGGCAGAGTATTCGATATCTTTTGTATCAGTGGAGACAGTAGACCATTTATCTTGTAAACTGGCACTTAGCATCAATTTGTTACTTAGTAGATTAGGCAAATGTATGAACATAATATCTGCAGTCTCATGAGTTATGAGATCTTTGGGCTATTGTAGTTAAAGGTGGAAAGAGACAGGACCATCTACTATGACCTTTCTGTCCAACCTTAAAAGGAACTGATTATCTGATTACTGTTCTTTAATATAAACCCCAAAGCTGAATTTTCACTTGAAACAGAATTTCCAAATCTACATCCAGACAGACACTGAAGTTCAGATCCATAACTAAACATAAGGGGTTTGTGATACCAGAAAAAGCAAGCTTTTCTTATATGGGCACAGATATACCATCGTGATCAAGGATTAGGAAATCCCTTGAACACCTTCTTCTGCTTCCTGACTCCTTTTTTCATTACCTGTTTACTGTGTGGTGCAAAAAGCTACTTTGGGGACCACAACATCAGCTACCTTCATTCTAAGAGCTCTCACATTTTCATGTACATTTTCTGCCAGGCCAAAATCAAAAGATTTAGCTTCCACCACCACAGCAATAGTTGCTAATAACAGCAAAAGTATTTAAGGTGCTTCTGCTCCATTGTTCTTAGAGAGACATTTTTATTTTTATTTTTTAGTATTGCTCTCTCAAATCTACAAGACCACAGAGGATACTTTTCAGCATTTTTTTTAATAATGTAGCAGACTAAAGAGTAAATTTCTCATGATTTGTTATGTAATAAAACATCAGAATACGTTACAAATAGAGCCATAATTAAAAATCTAAGTGTTTAAAGAAGGAAATCTGTAAATCAAACACTTTGCTTAACTTTATGTTTAAATACACACTAATAAGCAACGTTTTTCCACAGTGAATTTATCACAAATCACTTCCTAGAATTATTTATATTTTTTGGAATACACAGCCCCAATCCATAAATATTATGTTTAGATTGATTTATTTTAGTATTTATACACAGTCTGTTCTTCAAGCTTCTGGGCTTTTAATTAATCTGGATTTGAGGCATAAATTCTTTATGCCTTGATTAATACCAAGCAGGTTTTATTTAATTAAAGAGACAGACTGGTGAGAGACATTTTAATCAAAAAATTCATATGCATACAGTACATCTGTACTTTTTAATACAAGCTCAAGCACATTAAAAAAAGATTTATTTTTTCTCAGCTGTTTTCCTTTTTGAATGATGGCATATTTGTGATTCAAATGAGGAGTTACCTTCATGAACTCTTTCAGTCCCTTACTTCCTCTCTCCTCAGAACAACAGAGCAGGAAAAACAAATGAAGTAACAGGAACAAACAGGAAAAAAAGAAAAAGAAAAAGAAAAAGAAAAAGAAAAAGAAAAAGAAAAAGAAAAAGAAAAAGAAAAAGAAAAAGAAAAAGAAAAAGAAAAAGAAAAAGAAAAGAAAAAAAAAAAAGGTTAAACAATCACATGATGAGAAGCAATTTGCTAGATATCACAGAATTTTCTAGATGTATAAAAGGATGTTATACAAGCCATTTTTGTTGATAAGCAAGGTGATTCCAGCAAAATGTGGGAATTCCGTTGGCTCTAAGGAATGCAATGGAAAATTAGAACGTTTCAAGGAAGTTGGAAGTCTATCATATGGTCCAATCCTTATTGTCTTTTCAGCAAAACTGTTTAGAGTTAATTTTAAAGCAGTATTCATTTGATTTTGTTTAGAAAACAATTGTTTTGTGCAGTAATGAACATTTGGCTAAAGTTTTGCATCTGGCTACATCGTGTGTATATATCATCCTCAGCACAATATTATCTTCAGCATAATATTATCTTCAGCATGTTTATTTACCAGCCAATTATTTTTTTCCATGTTAAATATTTTTAAATATATGTAATATATCAAACAGTTATTATATATATACATATTGCAGGTTATAACACAGATAAAGTCATAGGGCTGGAATCACAAGAGTCATCAGCACTATGGTTAGAATGAGATCACAACATTCTGGAAGGGATAAGATCAGTTTTCTTTATAAAAAGATCATATTAAAATATCTTTGAAAAATTGGATATCTTTGAAAGATATCAATATAGACAACCTATATCATTCATATACATCATAGACAAACCTTTATTAACACTGAAGAGGTCAGGCAGTTGGACTGGATGTACAGTCCAACTAAACTAACTCCACTCAACCATCTATTCTATTCTATTGGACTTCCTCTAAGATCAAAGGCTACGTTCATAATGTTTTGTCTTTTCTATACTTGTATTTTAATCTTTTAAAAGACTGTTTTGTGCAATTATATATATATAGGTTCAATGTATACTACTGTGTCAGCAAATTTAGCTGACTGGTAAAGAAAAAGTGTGAATGTTCCTGCTGTTCTGGAGAGATCATAATGTTCAGATGCAAATCTTCCTCTAACAGGAGTGTGCCTATCCAACAGGCAACTGGAATGCTCAGAAGAGCTTCAAGAAACAGCTTTTTAACAAGTAAAACACTGCAAATGAGAATCATCACACCAACTTCAAGGGTGTTTCTAATGTAGTCATACAAAGCTGAGATTTCTTTAGGTTCCCTTTCTAACTTGCAGTTAGATGAGGGTTTAAGGTGTCCCAAGAAATTTTTTTCTACATATTTTATTTCCAAGAAACTTACATCCTCAACACCTGATAAAAGAACAGACAGTGATAGCTACTTCAAATTTTCATGTCTTTTTTACAAATATCAACAGTTAGAACAATCCTCTCCAGAGAACTATTGCCCAAGTCTGCTGGCCTGCAGCCTAGCAGGAAATGGGAAATACCTGAGAGGAGTGTGAGCTTGTTGGCAACAAGGGAGGCTCCCCTTCAAGGGTGATGGGAAACATGGAGAAGAGTAGGAATTGTGCAATGCAGAAAGACCCTGAGGCATAGTTATGGGGAAAAAAAAAATAAAAATGTCTTTCCACCCTTTCACCTTTCATGCTTTCTGAATTTATGTCATTATGTTGTAGTTTAGCATTTCACATTTTACTAAAACCTAGGTTTAGGAGCTTGTCATCTTTCGAAGTATTTGTTTTAAGACAGGAAAAGTAGTTTCTTTAAAAAACTGGCAATTAAATTCTCTATTAAATGTTGCTGTTATTAATTATGGAAAACTTTGAGAAGACAGATTTTTCAACAAAGGAAATTCTTAAATTTCCCAAACTATGTCAGAGGTACAAAAGCTGAGAGTTTATGATGGTTTATTTGTAACCCATTTCACATCTCAGTTAAAGCCCGACTTCACATTTTGAACTTTTCAGAAACATTTTGTTGTTGCTATTGAACCCCAGTTTTTGGAGAATAAAATTACCTTAGAGGAAAATCTCTCATATCTAGACTTGACACCTGCACTTAAATTAATCATTGTATATTTCCTTCATAAATAAAATAAAAACGAGATTTTTTTTTTCTGGAAATGCAGTACTGATACTCATCTATAAATAAAGAATATACCCAACTTTTAGAGACCTAAGCAAGAGGTGATGAAGCCTATCAGATGACTACATACAGAAAAAGAAAAACTAGTATCCAAAAATCAAGCTGATCCAAGATTACTTTGTGTTGTTTGCTACATTTATAGACAATCTGGTTGGAAAAGCAGATAAATATTAGTATGTAACAGATGGCAGGTAACAGGTAGCATTATTGGCAGGGGGTAATGTTCACATTATTGTAATATTGAAAAGAAAATAAAAGCATTTTTCTAAATAAACATCAAGATTTCAAAAATCAATGACTATTAAGACATCTGATTTCTGAAATCCAACACCAGGTGTTTCCTGTCTCCAAAGTAGTTATTCTAAACCAAGTATATGTTTAAGAATGTCAGTTTCTGGAAATATGGGAAAAAAAAATGTCCTTAGGAACACATAGACTGTCTCTAAAAGCCTTGGAGTTCAGATTTAAAAAATAAACAAAGCAGAGTGTTTTTTTTTTTTTTATTGTTTGCTTGTTTGTTTCTGAAAAATATATACTTCCACATTGCATGATTACAATAAGTAAAATCTGACCAGAAGAATCCAGTCTGCAGCCCGCACATTCTTAGAGGTTGCCAATGTACTTCTAACAGGTTCACTGAAGTTGAATGAGAAGAGCAGTTCACAATATGTGATATTTCAAACATTTCAAGCAGAAAGAAGAGGAAGGCCAGAAGCAGAAAAAACAAAACAAAAACAAAAAACACAACAACAACAACAACAAAAAAAAACAAAAACAAAAAAAAAAAACACTGATGTGGAAACAAAAGGTATAATACCGTAAAATAATACCATCCACACACTAACATTCCTCTTTTTAATAACAATCAACTGTCATTAGT